TTTGATTGGAATTGCATTGAAGAAGAAAATAAATTTGTGTCGAACTGACATTTGCTTAACACTGTATCTTCTTACATAACTTCTTTAGTGCCTTTCTTTGTTCCTTAAAATGTGTTACCTTAGCATGCTAACATTTTTGATTGGGAAATGTATTATTTCCAACATCCCCCCAACACACATACACAAGCACATACATCCTTACCTTGTAGACTAAAAGAAAGAAGCCTTCTGTGCACCCACCTCAATCACTTTCTCGTTTCTGTTTATCGAAAGTTACCACTCTCCAGAATTTGATATTATGCATTCATTTTTTTCCTAAAGTTTATCACTTATTATATATCCCTGAACAATGTATTATTATTCACCCAGTTTTATCCTACATATAAAGGGATTCATTTTTTATGACTTTCTGTTTTTATTCAGCATTAGGTTTTGTGATTCCACAATGCTAATATATGAAGTTCTAGCTTCTTTATTTGTATTGCTGTATAGTATTCCATTGTATGAAAATATCACAATGCATTTATTCATTCCATTGTTGGTGTATTTTTTTCCTCAAAAACAATATGGACATGAGCATTCTCCAGATACACATCTATAGGAGTGAAATTCCAGGTCCTATAGGCTCAGGTTTAACTTTACTAGATAAGGTCAAGTTATTTTCCAAAGTGGTTGTGTCAACTTATGTCTCTCCAGCTGTATGTGAGCATTCCTTTTGCAGCACATTCTTATGCTTGGTATTGAATGACATTTTTGGTTTTTGCCAATCCTGTGGGTATAAAATACTTTTGAAGAACAGTTTTGCTGGAAATAGAATTCTTGATTGACAATTTATTTCTTTTAGTACTTTGAATATATCAGCCACATTACTTTTTGGCCTCCAAAGTTTCTGATGAAAAATCTGCTAATAATCTTGTGGAGAATCACTGGTATGATTAAAATTAAGACATCCCCAGATAAATAGAAGCTGAGTGAGTTAGTTACCGCTAGACCTCACTTGCAAGAAATGGTAGAGGAAACACTACAAGTTGAAATGAAAGGACAGCAGATAGTACCCTGAAGCTGTATGAAAACAAAAAAATCTCAGTAAAGGTAAAGACATGGGCAATTATAATAAAAGCAAATGTTATTGTAACAGCAGTTGTAACTCTACTTTCTCTTTTCCACATAATTTACGAGAATCACTTGTATGTATGAGTCACTTCTCTCTTTCAAGATTCTATGTTTGTCTTCATCTTTTCACAGTTTGATTATGATGTCTTGCTGCAAGTCTTTTTTGAGTTCCCTATACTGGGGTTTTGTTGAGTTTCTGGGATGTCTATATGTATTTCTTTCATCAAACTTGGGAAGTTTTCAGCTATTCTTTCTTCAAATATTCTCTTTGCTTCTTTCTCTCTTTCTTTTCTCCTTCTGATACTCCCACAGTGCATTGGTCTGCTTGATGATGTCTGACAGGACCCTTAAGCTCTGTTCACTTTTCTTCAATATTTTTCCTTTCTGTTCCACAGATTCAACAAGGTCAAATGTTCTTTCTTCAAGTTCACTGATTCTTTCTTCTGCCTGCTTAAATCTGCCATTGAACACCTCTAGGGAATTTTTCATTTAAGTTATTGTATTTTTTACTTTAGATTTTTTAGGTTTTCTTTCTCCATATTGACAGTTCCATTTAGTTCATTTATCATTTTCTTGGCTCTCACCATGTCTTTTAGTTCTTCGAGCATACTTAAGCAGTCATTTTAAAATCTTTGTCTAGTAGGTCCAACATCTGGTCTTTTTCCTTGACAGTTTCTGTTGATCCTTTGAATGGATCAGACTTTCTTATTTCTTGGTATATTTTGTTGTAAACTGAACATTTGAATATAATTAACAAGCTCTAAGTCTGGAAATCAGATTCTGTCTCTGTCCCAGGGTTTGCTGTTTTTTGTTTTTATTTTGTTTTTGATGGTTCTAGGCTGTCTCTATGGTGAGGATCAGCCTGAGATGTAAATTTACAGTCTTCTTAGGGCTTTTCTGAGTCTGTGCCTTTCCCTGTGTATGTGTGGTGACTTTCTGATTTCCCCCTTAAATGAAGTTGCTTTTGAATGCTCTAGTCTTTAATTCTGATTCCCAGAGAGTGAGGGGAAAGGAGAATGAAGGGAGGGGTGAGGGACATTTAAATTTTGTAGAAATTACTTCAGGTGGAGGGGGAGGGACTTGCAATTGTGTGTCTATATGGAGGTGTGGGTTTTGTTTCCAGCAGCAGTGACTGCCCACCTCTGTGTCTGTACCTCCATGATCAGAAGCAGCAATCAGAAATCACAGTGTGGATCCCCAATATCTAAAGGACGGGGTCTTTATTGCTCACCCTGGCTCCTATTAGCTATGTATAAGCTACTGCATCTCATGCACTACCTGCCATGGGCTGGAGCTGGGAGATGGTAGCTTCTGCAGAGCTAAAAGATGAAATTGACCAAAATTAACCACAGTTTACCATGCAACACTTTGGAAGCGGCAAGCCTTTAGTAGGCTCCAGAGTTCCAAAATAGTTCCATGAAACATATTCTACTAGTGTAATTGTTGTCTAGGTGGGGAGACTGGTTCCTGGTGCTTCTTACTCTACCATCTTCCCAGAATCCTCCTCCTCCTCTAATTGATTTTTGAGTGTGATATGAGATAGGAAGCCATTTTTATCTCTGCTAATCTGCAATGCCAATTTTGTCATATATGCATGGGCCATTTCTAACCTATATATTCCATTCCAGTGGTCTTTTAGCCTATGTCTATAACAATATCACCCTTTTGTTTAGTGCTAGGATAACATGTATAAGCCACTGTTTTATTTATTAAAGCTCACTGTTTTATTTATTAAAGCTTTATAATATATCTTCATATGTGGTAGTGCAAATCCTTCTGCCAGGTTCTACTTTATCAGAAATATTGTGTCTGTTATTGATCTTTTGTATCTCCACATACCTTTTAGAATTAGCTTGTTAAACTTCTCAGAGAACCCTGATGTTATTTTGATTGGAATTGCATTGAAGAAGAAAATAAATTTGTGTCGAACTGACATTTGCTTAACACTGTATCTTCTTACATAACTTCTTTAGTGCCTTTGAAAAAAGTTTAATAATTTTGCTATAAATGTTTTACTCTTCTTTCATTAGGCTTATTCTTAGGCATCTTCGAATATTTGTTATTATTTCATACAGTGTCTTTTTGTTGCATGTTCTTAATGTTTGTTCCTTGAATTTAGAAATTCATTTGACTTTTAAATTGATCCTATATTCAGTATTTTTGCTAAAAAATTTTATTGTTAATAATAACAATTTTTTCTGTGGTTTCTCTTCATTTTTAAATGTAATCAACCGTATCAATTGCAAATAATGTTAGTGCTGTTTCTTCCTTTTCAGTACCTAATTTTTTTTTATTACTGCTCTGGCCATACACTCTAGTACAGTATTGAATAAAAGAGGTGAGAGCAGGCAACTTTATCTTGTTTGTGATTTTCAAGAGACTTTTTATAGTATTTTACCCTTGAGTAAGATATTTTTGTGGGTTCTTTATATTCTTTGTGTAATGATTAAGTAAGATTTCTTCTATTTCT